ATTGTCAAAATATTGCACGAAAATGACACCATGAATAACGACAATCCTTCAATGATTGCCCTAAGATGATTCGTCATAAAGCAACAGGTTTGTCAAAATAAAATTTTGTAAATAATATTTGTTTCAAAACTTGGTTTTCAAAAAAGGTATGCATTTTCATAAGCATATACATGAATTAAGTTGATTTGTTCATATGCAAGTATATTTCTACATATTTTAAACATTACATAGCTGAAGTTGTTTTCTCAATTATTGGACAATTTCTTTTTGACATTATTTTTGCAAATATACTGCTAAGATGAATCGCCATATCGTTATTCTTTTCCCGAAATAACATTTGGAAAGTACTTTTGCACACAACTACAAATATTTAAGAAAAGATCTCTGTTTTTACAACTGTTTCCGAAAATATAGTTGTATAATTACAAATTACAATTTTAGTGCAAGATTTTGTCACATAATTTTGTAAATGTTTTCTTATCAGAGTAATAAATATAATTTTACCAAAGTACTTAGTTACGTACTTAAGATAAGTTATTAATAATCACGAACAAAACGTTAAAGCGTAGTCTTACTAAAGACACAAATATGTTATTGCATATCGTTTTTTAATTTGATAATAAAACAAAATTTTAAAGACAGAATGTTTTGTAGTATTTAATATTTATAAACTGAAGTTTCTAAAAAAAGAACTTTTTGCAGTTTGTAAAACAAATTAAAAAAAAAATTGTTTTTAGTATTAATTCAATTTTTATAGTAGTAGTAGTAGTAGTAACATTTATTGCGTCCCAGCTAACCGGGTTTACAAGGCGTTTTTTCAAAGAAACGTACCCAAAACTTTCACAAAACTTTCACAAATGCTTTCCTTAGTGTGCTACTTATATCTAACTTAATACTAACTTAATTTATCCTGCCGGGATGGCGAGACCGCGTGAATATTCACACCATCTCCTCATCCTGATCCACACACACATACTCTCCCTCCTTCGGACTTCCGCTTCCTCTCGCCTTTTCTGTATGTCTCACCTCTTCACCTCCTTACATCTCTCTCATTCATTCCTGATCATCCATACACTCTCATTCACTCTCTCTCTGTCAAACCCTCCCTCTCCCCCTCATCTACCCCCCTCATCTACTCTAACCCCCATCCCCTATCTGTCCTAACTTTCCCCTTCCAATCTCCCTTTTCTCTCTTTTTCCAGTTCCTTCATCCAATCCTCCCCCTCACCGTTCTCCCCCAGAACCCAATCTACTGCCTCCTGCCAGCTCTCTTCCTCCTCTCTCCAACGTCTACACCTCTCCCAGACATGCTCCCATGTTCCCACCTCTCCTCCACATAACCTGCATAATTTGCCCTTCTCTCCTTCTCAGTATTTCCTCTCCTCCACCTCATTCCCGAGCCTAAACCTTGCTACTCTCGTCCATCTCCTCTCATTCCACCCTCTCTTCAAATAACCTGGTACTCCCTCTCCTTTTACCACTCTGTACCACCTATTGTATACTTTGATCCCTCTATCTTCTTCCACTTCTCCTCCGCCTGTCTTTTCCTTTCTCTCTTTTCCCATTCACCACTCCACACTTCTCTTTTCTCTACTTTCTCTATATTCCTTTCCACCTCCTCCATTTCTATCCCTTTTCTTTCAAAAAACTCGAACCTTTCTTTCTCCCACTCTGATAAACCATTTCCCTTCTTTGCCCTATTTCTCATCTCCTCCCAGCACATCCTCGCAATGTCACTACCTTTCNCCTCCCTTAATCTCGTTTTGTACTCCCACGCTCTCCTCTCCGCTCTTATACATAATTTCTCTCTCTGTAGTTCTTCCCTCACTATATACCCTGGCGTTCTCCCTTCTACTCCCAGCAACCACCTCAAATACCTTTCCTCTTTTCTTTCCAATATACATCCTTCTTCTTCCACCCCCAAATCTCCACTCCATATCCCATTACCGTCTAGATTAACCTGTCAAAAAGCCACAGCCTTCTTCCCCAATCCTTCTCAAACCTTCGCTTTTTTATACTTCATACCTGTCATCCCATCACAGCTGCCGCTTTTCTTCCTCTATCCCTCACCTGCGCCTCCTGCTTCCCATTTTTTCTCAGCACATATCCCAGATATCTAAACTCATTGACCTCCTCTATTTTNTTTCCTTTCCATCTCCACTCCCTCTTCTTTTCTCTCCCTCCTCCCTTCCTGAATCTCATCATTTTCGTCTTCTCCACATTTAATTCCACTCTCTTTCTATCCAAATACGCCTCCAACCTTTCCAACATACTCCTCATTTCCTGCTCTTTCTCTGCTAATGTATCATATCATCCGCGTATGCTAGCGAGTATACCCTTTTCCCCTTTAACACCACTCCACCCCATCTCACCTTCCTCATTTCTTCCTCCATATCCGCTAATAAGATGTTGAAGAGCAAGAGGCTGAAAGGGCATCCCTGCCTCACCCCTCTTGCCGTCCTGAAACAGTCTTCTTCCTTTCCTCCCACCCTTACTCTGCACTTCGTCTCCCTGAAAACCTGCTCCACTCTCCTCACTAACTCCTCCCTCAACCCTCTTTTCTCATTGCTCCTACTAAAACCTCTCTATCCACCGAGTCGAACGCTGCCTTCAGATCTACGAATAAGGCTACCAGCTTTCCTCCTTTTTTCCCTACCTGTCTGTTTGCTAGGTAGTTCAATGCATAAATGTTGTCTTATTGTTCTCATACCTTTCCTGAATCCCGTCTGGTTGTGTGGAATTATCCCTTTCTCCTCCAAATCCTCCTGAACTCTTTCTGCCAGAACAGACACATACGTTTTGTATACTGATGACATCAAAGTAACTCCTCTGTAATCCTCCACACTCAGCCCTTCTCCTTTGTTTACTATGGGCACGATGATCCCCTCCTTCCAATCCTCCAGCCACCATTCTCCCTTCCACACCTGTTTGCATACTTCTTCCACCCAGCATTCTATCCTCTCCCCTCCGTATTTCCATGCTTCTCCCGGAATCCCGTCCACTCCACTCGCCTTTCCTTCTCTTATTTTACTTATCGCNTTCTTTATCTCCTCTCTCTCAATGTCCTTCTCTTCTTCTTCCACCGATCCTCTTCCCCCTCTTCCTCTTACCACCTTCCCTTCCACTCCTCCCAACAGTCTCATGAAATACTCCTTCCATTCCTCTATCTCAATACTTTTGTTTACCCTCTTTCTTCCTCCTCTCTCTCTGTTCATTATCTCCCATACTTCATTCTCCCTCCTCGNCCTTCTGATTTTCTCTTCCCATCTCTCCCTCTCCTCCCTCTTTTTACTGTCACAGAGCTTTGTAAACTCCCTTTTTCTTTTTCTATATTCCCTTTCCATTGCTCCATCTCTCTTCCACTCCTTCAGCAGTCTTCTTACCTTCCTCTTCTTCTCTTGGCATTCATTATCCCGCCATCCTTTCTGACCCTTTTCCCCCATCTCTTTTCCTCTTTCCTCCTCAATCTCTTTCAACGCCCCCCTCATCCCCTCCTTCATCCTGCTCCATTGCTCTTCCCAATCTCCTTCAACTTCCTCCAGCATCCCCATTTTTTCCTTAAACATCACTCTCCCCTTTTCATCTCATATTCCCCTCCAGACCTTTCTTCCTTCTTTTTTCCCTGCCTTCCTACCCCCTCCTCCCCTCATCCAAACCTCTACCGGATGATGATCCGAGTCGATCCTATCTCCTATCCTCAACTTCTCAGTCCTTCCTCTTGTCTCCTCCCCCACTATCACGAAATCTATTATTGTATTTCTCTTTCCCCCTGTAAACGTGTATTCCCCTTCCTCATCCCNTCTTATACAACCATTAAAAATACCCCAACCATACTCCTCTATCCAATCCAGTAATTTTCTTTCTTCCACATTGACTGTGCCGTCCTTTGCTTTCCTTACTCTTCTCTCCCCTTGTTCCCCCTCAAATCCACCTCCCTCCGTTCCTACTCTTGCATTAAAATCCCCTCCAATTATCACTCTGCAGTCCCCCTCCCCCTTGTCCGTCCAATCCTCTATCTTTTCCCGCATCCTTTCTATTCCTTCATACACATAGATTCCTACCACTCTCCATCTCTCCTTACCCACCCATATCTCCCCCATTATTGCCCCTTCTCTCCCTACCTCTATTTTGATCTTCTCTCCTCTTACCAGTTTCTCTCTCACCCCCATAATCATTCCTCCTTTTGCCCTACCTCTCCTTCCTTCTCTCCTTGCCCCCTGCACCCCCCATCTGTAGCCTCTTGGCAATCTTAACCTCATTCTTTCCCAGTCCTTTAATTCAATTTTTGTATTTTCTTTTTAATTTTTTACTTCAAACTTAAAGTATATAGTTTTTACGTATATTTCGTGTCAAGTTTCAAATCAGATGATTATAAAAAGTTATACCGGAAATGTTGCCGGCGCGAAAAAAATTTTTCATTCAGTTTCTGCATTACTTTTTTATAAAGTCGTTAACCTTAAGACAAAATGAAGTTAGTAAACTATATGTTATACAACCTCAAATTTCGATAATTAAACCCACCTGTACAGCTGGATATAAGTATATTGTACAAAATGATTTGTATATCTTGCTTGTGAACTTTAAGAAAAGTACTGATTTTAAAGTGCAAACAGAAATAATCCTTAATATACAATATACTGTATTTCACAAGAAAAATGAGTAAAACATATACAATAGCATAATCACACACAATATCTTGATTATTTCATGGAGCCAACCCATCCTGAAACATCAATAATGATAATGCATTACTTATATTTATATCATGTAAAATATGTAACGTTTTATCATTAGTAGCATACACTTCCGGAAATAAACTTGTTTGCTTTTGTATAAGCTTAAAAGAAACAAGCTTCTAAGAGCTGACGATAAAACTCACGATAATTATTGAATGCTAGCAGTGTTTCCACGTGTTTTTATAACTTATAGTTTATCTAACAACACGTCACAAACGATCAAATAGCGCACATAACTTTGCGAATTTATGTAAAACGTTTCTGTCAGAGAATGCTAAAAACAAATTTTTTAATTTAAATGTCCTACAGAATAATATCGTTTCTCAATGAAATACGAGTACAAAGAATAAAAAACAACTCCAATTGAAAACAACAAGTAGCAAGATAGCAGAATATAGCTTTTTTTTTTTACTAAATCTTACCTGTTACGATGACGTTTAGCTTGTTGCAAGCGACTCATGTCTTCATTGAGCAAGTAGAGTTTACAGCCAATAATGACATTTCTGAAATAAAAAATTCTTATTATTATTATTCAAATAAAAGACATTTTATGTTTTACATAAAGAAGAATTTTACAGTCCGATTGTATGATTTTTTGCTAAAATTGCATAAGTATGAGCTTGAGGTCTCATACGCACCTAATATATTCTTCTGTGTCGAGATACAATAAAGTTTTATATCCAAACTGTGTTTCATCATCAGTATTTGTGTTCTCGAACAAACTTATAAATTTTGAGTTATTAAAATGCCACGAGTTTGTTACAAAAAAAGACAATGCGCAAAGTGATACGAATATTTTTCTTTGCAGATTTACTAACCTAAATAAATCAAAGGTTGTACATTAAATTTTCACTTATAACAATAATTTTAAGTGCAATAACATTTGCACATTTTTAAATAGCTGGCGTGTAAGTAACTGTCTACACTTACATCGGACGTAACCGGACAATTTTCAGCATAGCATCTAGTACTACTGCTGGCATAATATGTATTATCAATACCATTATGTAATATAGCGAATGACTTTTTATCGCAATTGTACTTGGTTTCCAGAGTAGCTTCTCAAAAGGAATATCACAAGTGAAACGCTGTCCTACGCGTAGAATCTTTCGTATACTCAAGTTCATTAAGTTGTTTGTACAGCAATTGTATATGTGAATGCTCGTATCCTCAGCGATGCTGATTTGTAAAAAATATGAGTTTTAATTTTTGATAGTGAGAAAATAAATTCAATACTACAAAGTGGTTTTATCACATACGTACTTTCTCATTCCCCGTCTCCAAGCAGCGATTATCGTTGCTTTTGTTACAACATCGATTGGTACCCAATCTGGTACCACAGAAGAGTCCAAATAAGCAACGCGCATAACACCGGTTGCATTACCGATTACTAAGCTCATTGGGCCATTAAAATTATCTACCCAACCTGGTATTGGATCGCTAATTGAAGGTACTACAATTGAAGGTCTGATAATAACGCAAGGCAACGATTCAGAAAAATCGTTTATAACATTTTCTGCTAATCGCTTTGTAAAGACGTACGTATTGGGCATGGGATGTATATATCTACAACAATTAATTAACAAGAACATATTTTAACAATGGCAATACATACACGACACAACTTATGTACTCGTATCTGTATAGTGTGCATGCGCGAATGTAATATAGAACTTACTTCGCGGTAAAAATTTTTAAAATTTCGTTGTCAATGTTTTCAGCAATGTGGATCGTCTTCCTCCAGTCAACGTCTTCCAAAGGATAAAAGACCTCGTCTACTACGGGTTTATCACACTGTGTGAACGCCGTACTTACGTAAACTAGAGCCTATTTCGATTATGTACATTAAATATAATAGGTAGAATTAAAATGTTGTTAAGCACACAAAGTTATTGAAAACTGTACTTGCGAAAGAATATAAATTGATAAAAACACTTACCACTATATGTTTCATAGATTGGGCCAAAATACAAACGTCACGCGTTGACCGTAAGTTTGTGAAAATCGCATTTTTAAGATCCTCGTCAAAGCGGACAGAAGCCGCAACGTGAAATATTATCGAGACTTTTTCACTTAACATTTTTCTGTCTTCCACCAATAATCCTAAATCTTTAGGACTCACGTCTCCGCTTATAGGAATAATTTTATCGAAACTGGATGGCCGCTCGCGTCGTAATAAATCAAAAAGCTTGTTCTTCAACATTTTCTTTAACCTGTCGGTGACGGTTAGTCCTTTTTTTGGTCGTATCAGTAAAAATATTTCTTTAATATCTGGACAACTTCTCAGTAATTTTTCACATAACGCTTTACCCAGGAAACCTGTGCCACCAGTAATGAACACACTTCGATGGGAGTAAAAGGTGGGTATAGATGTATTAGCGTCTTCACTCATAGTAACTAAAATAATGAAACCGTTTGGAAAATAGGCACTACAGAAAATCAAGTGCGTTGCGTTGGAATAGTAAAATAATGAGAAATATAAAATATTATTAGTAATTAAAAGCTCTGTTTTATTTTCAACAAAGTTAACTTTTTATCTACGCTGTTCAAGAACAAAACACCATAGCACATGATAGGTCCTCACAAAAACTTAAAACGGAAATGAGCCAAATTCTAAGCTTGTTATAAAGAAAATGATGTGTAATTTAGTCGATGATTGCGAAATGCTTGACAAAGTCCACGGAAGCACGTTTTTTATATGCTGAATAATGAATACGGTATGTATAGATATGGGTTTACATGTAGTTTATATTTAAGAGAGACATTGGCTCTTATTTATTATTGATAAATCGACATAAAAACACATTGTATGTAGATGCATGGGCAGACAAATTTTAATAAGGTGAAGGCTCCGCACCTCTAAACGTCAGTCAAGATTATTCAAGATTTATAACGAAGAGAAAGAGACAAAACAGTTATTTGATCAGAGTTAAGATTGTAATATTCTCTAATACTTTGTAATTCAATCTAATAAACAATTTTTCATATCGAGGTCAGGCAGCGGTTGGTCGTGAGAAATATCAGATACTGCACATTTACATGATAAATACATGTCTATTCGTTTTTATGTATTAATATCGTAAATACTTTTGTATTTAGATTGATGGTAGGGAATAAAAGACGTTATTTTGTTAGTAATCAGCGGTGGTATATTATTCTATAATTAATGGCTTGTAAGGACCGGAATTGCGAAAAAGAAAACACTCTTATCAAAAATATATATATATATATATATTAATAAAAAATCTTCAGGCTTTGAAGTTTTATAAGAAATAAGAAATAAGGTCATAAGAGCCGTTTTACATGATGTTGTGCAGAAATGTATAATATATATATACACACATATGTATATATGTATTCACGTGTAAATACTTACACATGAGTCTTTTGAATTGAAATTGCTCTTCTTCAATCCATATGTAATGCTATATTTGCATCACATATATGAAAGATTCCGAATATCCTCCTACTTACTTTTTAAAATATTGTGAAAAAAACTTCTCAGCCAAGAGTCGAACGTGGAAATTTCTGGCTTTTCGTGCCGTCGTCTTCTCTGTTAAGCCACCGAGGCCTATATTTTTGCACAACATCCTGCAAAACGGCTCTTATTACCTTATTTCTTATTTAATATGTATAGTAGTGTAGGAACCGTGTGGATAAGTTGTCAATAGGTAAAAAAGAAATATTAGAAAATATTCACTTATACTTATAAAACGAATATAATTATGAGTTATGTGTTAACAAAAGAAGTGATTCCCCGCGGATACAATCTTTCGCCTCGATCCGTTCGCGTCGACGGTTGCCGGTAATCCCTCGCAACGATTTTGTCGAGCGTTATCTTCGGCCTTTTGAGAGATGTTGTTCTTGTAAATCATTGGCCAAATCCGCTTGCATGTTGTATACAACACATTTGAATTTAACCGACCGATAGCTAAACGATACGGCGTGGGAAAATCAGACAAATATTTATTGCCAGGACAGTCATGTAAACTAAATACAAATTCAAGCTGAGAACTTTTCAGCCGTCGTATGAACACTCGAAAATGAAATATAATACGCAAAATATATTTTCGTCGCTTACAATAATTTTTCTCTACAGTAGTATGACTTTATTGCTTTCCCGGCAAACCGGGTTTTTAAGGCGTTTTTTTTTTAAGAAATGTTCCCAAAACTTTTACAATTCCGTGCTTCTCTTAAGGACGTTCTCCGACTACAGTGGTTAGCAACCTAAATACAGTGGTTAGCAACCTAAAATATCTCTTTTCATGAGTAAGTTTGTACTGCTGTAACAAAGTTAAGTTGAGCTATTCAGCACTGCTAAGACCCGCTTACTCTGCGCAGAAGTTCAAAAATAGCTGCAGTACACAATAGCGCACATAAATCCAGCAAAACAAAAAAAAAACCAAAAAAAAAAAACAAAAAAAATAGCTATAGTTTGAAAACAAGGGTTGCTTGCCATATTATTCAAAATCGTATTTTAATTAAGACACTTTCCGCTACCACATACTTGTTTTTTAAAAAAATCCTACAAAAATTGTCGTCAGTAACTTTAAAAAACCCCACTTCACAAAGGCTCAGCATAGGAAATCCATGTTAAAAATTGAAACTTAAATCTTCCATATTTTGGAATTTAACATTGCTACCCCTATTATCCAAAAAGGTTACTTATAAATAAGATCATAAACTATGTATATCGCAAATTTAAAGAAAATCCTACGAAAATCAATAATTCGGAGAACGTCCTTAATATTACTCTTATGACTACACTTACATCTATCTTAACCTACCTCAACGAGATGATGAGAGGCCGAGTTTCCCCGCCCCCTCATCATCCCTTTCCACACACACACATCTTCCCCCTTTGGGCTTCCGCTTCCTCTCGCCTTCAATTTCCATCTCTCTCACCTTCGCGTTCCCCCCCCCCCTCAACTCTTCACACTCTCACTCTTTCTCTCTTTCATTCTCTCTTCCTTCCTCATACCGTTCACTCCCCTTCTTCCTCCCTTCCTCCCCCTCCACGTTCTCCTTTCTCCATCAGACTTCTCTCTCTTTCCAATTCCTTCATCTATCCTTCTCCTTCCCCGCTCTCCCCTAATATCCGTCCCACCGCCTCTTTCTCCTACCACATTTCCCAACCTGAATCTTGCCACTCTTACTCATCTCTTCTCCTTCCATTCTTTTTTCAGATATTCCGGCACTCCCTTTCCTTTAACCATTCTGTATCATTTGTTGTACCTCGAACCATTAATCCTCTCCCATCTTTCCTCTTCCTACTTGATCCTTTCTCTTTTCTCCCACTCTCTACTCCACCTTTCCTCCCTCTCCATCTCTTCCATATATTTTTCCACTTCCTCCAATCCTATCCCTTTCTTTTCAAAGAACTTTAATCTTTCCGTTTCCCAGTCCGAAATTCCTCTCCCCTTTTTTGCTCTTTCCTTCATTTCCTCCCAGCATTTCCTCGCTATTTCGCTTCCTTTTCCTCCCTACTTAATATGTATATATATATATGTTTATTCGGCGGCAAGTACCAAGAGACTCTCTCTCTCTCTCTCTCTCTCTCTCTCTCTCTCTCTCTCTCTCTCTCTCTCTCT